CCCTCCCCCTCCTCCCTCCATTCTCCTACCAAACACCAGGACCTTTATTTTGTTTGTTCTGTTTGGGTGGTTGTTTAAGGGAATTTTTTACTGATCAAATCATTTCATATAGAGTACCCTTTGTATCTAAATCCTGACCTAATGAAACCAAGTCTTTTGATCCTTATAACCATCTAACTATACCCACAGACAGTAGTTGGCCTGTTAGTGTTGATTTCTTTCTTTTTATTTATTCCCTTCTTCTAGAGCAGGGGAATTATACTTTTCACCTGAAAATTTCTCTTGTCCATTTGCAGAGCCAACCATTAATTCCTTCATCCTGAGGAGAACCCATTCATGGGCATAGCCTTATTGGTTGTGCAAACAGGTAGATATATTGTAGAACCATATGCTCTAAATTAAATGACCTCGGTTCTGATCCGAGTTTCCTACTTCATTTCCACCATTCAATTTAGAATTTGGTTGTTCGGAAGCGAAAAGGAAAGGAAGGAAAAATTTGAATTGGCAGAAGATTAGAGGGCCCCGCCCAGCTACATATCGATGCATAACTGTATAATTAATGCTCGTTTATAAAATGAATTTATTAGATAGATCATAGATGGGAAGGGGGGATCAAAAGAAGAATTCTGCAGCAATTATTTGCCAATTAAGTCTCACTCCTTTTACTTGGAAGATCAATTATTGATGAAACACCTCGTGAAATATATGTGTATTGACTTGTGTGTTGAAATTTTGTATGTATCTGTAATTTACCTCACCAAACAGATGACTCGATGAGGAAGACTCAGAACCCTTCACTCCTGCAGCATCAGAAAACTTCTGTGCTGCCTGTGCCTTCCACTGCGGCACTGCCCCAGTAAAAAGGTGGCCTGGCCTAGCTTCTCTAATTGCAAGAAGATGCGGCTAGCGTTGCATCTGATCTATATATCAGACACACGAAAAAGGTGCACTGATATTTATGCATTCAAACGTCAATGAAAACTAAGGTGCGCGCATCAGGTCTTTTCATGCATGCTTCCATAGAGCTATCCGGCCACCATTTGGCCTGTAGAGCTGGGTACGTTGTCTGGTCAAATTTTGATATATACATGGAGGCTGGGATGGAGCTACCATTGGAGGAATTCCGACCGATTAATACCGGTAGTTTATAATTGGCCTTGTTTGATTATATGCATGATTGATGTCGCCGGAATCAACCCTCCTGCTGGAGCTGGCGTGGTTAAGTCGTTCACCAAGATGGTCCATTGATTGGTTTGTCAACAAAAAGAACAGGAGTAAGTACTTCAGTTCTGGGCTTTCATGGTCTGCAACAAGCCAACGACATGGAGTTATTTTTCTTGGCATAATAGTTATTTTCCTGACCAGCACCGTCCTTGAAAAGCTCAAGACGTAAATCCTGTGTGTCTGAACGTGTCATATGTCGATAGAACGAGAATACGAGATGGGTGTTGGTCGTTCTTGTATCAATTGGCCTAGGAGGGCTTATGACGTCCATTTTTATGGATCGAGATTCGAGAGACACTGGTTCATATTTCAGAAAGTGGGAATTTATCAGAAATTAAGCAAAATAAACAAGAGGAAGCGGAAGTAGAAGCAGCAGCAGAAGCAGATTAAGCATCATGCTATCTATTAAAATGTTCATGACTTTTATTAGAATTTTAGCTTTGGTCAAGGCGGTCGACCAATCGCTATATGAGATATATTTGGAGACTTGTTTCTACCCAACTTTCATAAAATTTTGAGAATTTTGGACATTTATTTTCTCCAAAATGTTCGTGCGATAATTTTGAACAATGCAGTTGCTAATGGACGGCATTAGAGTTCTCCATTTTAGCTTATGAGGGTGCAAATCGGGCCGGATAGGTCAGGTTGAAACCAAACTTAGACCAACTCGAACCCGGACCCTAACCCAACTTTCTTCCATCCTTTTAAAATCTCGGAAGATCACTCAAGTTCTCTTAATATTTGATTCAGAGACCTAAACTTAATTTTATGACTAGTTTTTTAAATATCATTTGCTTGTTTGATGTTTTTATTGGCTCTTTTTTGTACAAAAGTGAAATTTAACAAAAAAAAAGTAATATTTCAAATTGTTAGAGTCTAAAGGTGCTACCTAGCCAGTCAGTAAAGTCTCAAATAGCTACCCGTTGTTGCATAGCACATTATCAAAAAAAAATGTTGTGCGGCCAATTATCAAGAAAAGAAAATTATTAGAGTCTATTATGAGCTATTATAGATCTTCTATTGAAAACCTAAAATCATGAAATTATCAATAATGAAATATGAATTATGGAACAAAAATCACTACTGACATTAGGGTTGTAAGAGGATGGATTTGGCACCAATGGTTAGACTCCAGAAGTCTGAAAAAGAGGTTTCGGTCCGAAAAGGAGAGAGAGAGAGAGAGAGAAATTAGGTCTCATGTGAATAATGGGTTAAAATGGACTCCCATATAGGACATTTGATTAATGGGGACAAGCATTATCATAACATCAAATGGATTGTCTTGAGATTAAAATGTTTTCATTGTAAATATCAAGGTTTTAAAAACTGATCCGGAAACGGAACCATTTTGGCCACCAGTTTCCGGGTCAGCGGTTCAATTGCTCGGGTCAAACGGTTTGAACATCTTATCCATTAGATTGAAATATTAGGGTAAGATGCATATTATATAAAAGAAAATAAAGGTTAACTTTGAATAAGAGAGATTTGAGAAAATTGTCAACTGAACTGAAAAAGTTAGAAGAAGATGAGGACTTGCAGGTTGCAGGCTTACAGCGGCAGCGATCTACTTTGTCTCTTTCTTTAATTGCATGTATGTTTAGCTCTGTCTCAAAGTGGAACTTTAGACTCAATTTTTTTATTTTTTTATTTTTTTCCTTGATTTTTCCAATTTTGTGGATTTACCGTCAATTTTTTCTGTGTTTAAGGTCACTTTGGATTTATCTTTCAAGGTTTTGGAATCCCTTGCAATGTCCACCCTTCCCATGACTACGATTACAAAGTTATTTCATCTAATTATTGGCATCTAGAAAAAACGACTCAAAAACATAACCGTTCTGGCCATTGGTTTGTAGAACGAACGGCCCATTCTAACAACAAAAATTTAAAAAAATTAAAAATGGCCAAAAATGGTTGCCTAGATGGTTCCGAGCCGAACGATCCTAATATCCGGATCAACTAGGAGTTCTTGATGTGAAATAAAGGACAGCTATGAAGTAGAATTTAGAACTATCATTGTATAATCATATTCTTTTATATAAAATGCTTTGTTGAAGCAATATTTAAAAAACAAGCACATGATGATCTCTTGTAAGTCTTTATATGAGTTTCAAGACTTGAGTACTTATAATTTCAAGTTTCTTATTAAGAAACCATTGTATTTTTTAATGTAGCAAATAGCAATGTTGCAATTCAATTTCAACCCCTGCGAAGCAAGGCCCTCCACTAGTTATTATATATAAAAAGACATAGGTTTCATGTTTTTTTTTTTGGTTTAATAAAAATTTGCCTTTAAATTTAAAATTATTGACATACTTGTACACATACATACATTTATGGCACAGACATGCATACATAAAATACATGTTTATAAAACATTTATACATGCAAACATGAAGTTAAATCTGGTTTTGGTCCAGCCCATTGATCAAAGCCTCAACCTTGACCCAACCCCAACCTGACTTTTTTGGGTTGGGTTTGGGCCATCCTAACCCAAGTTGCAGCCCTAGTTACTTGAAACATTTGGATTTTATTTATCCCTGATATTCTTTTCCTTTTCTATAATCACTTTCAATACTATTCTTTGAGGATGGAAGAGATATTCTAGGTGTTGACCCCCTCTTTCTTCAAACCATGGTTTTCAAAACCAGACCGGACTGGACGGTCGGACTGAAAAAATCAGGAATCGGTTAGGTGTCCGGTTCCGTTTTTCCCAAAACAGGATTTTTTCCAAAAACTATTGATTTTGGTCAACGAACTGCTGATTCAGGCAATTAACCGTTGAAACCGTTCTAATGGTTTTAACCATTTTTTATTTTTTGTCAAAACGGGCCGATTATTCGATTTAAACAGTCAGACCATTCAACCCGAAAACTGGACCCAGACCGATTTGTTCTCCAAGTCGGTTTTAAAAACCTTGCTTCAAACACCACATGCAGATTTAGTATGACTCACTTTTGAGTAGATATTAATTGTCAACATTAACGGTATCAACTATAAGAGAGAGATGAAGAGATGAAGGGCTGAGAGCAATTGGTAATCAAGAAAGAGAAACGAGACAAGTTATGGACCTTATGGCCTTCTTTGTTAATTTCTTTTGGGCGGGATTTTCTTTTCTCCATCTATGCTGAAATCTGAACTCTTGCATTGAAAAGCTCATTATTAAGCACTGCTGTGCCTTTAGTTGATTCTGTTCTTCTTGAGCAATCATCCGGTTGTTAGGGTTAGGGGTGTCAATTGGATTGGATTTGGTCCAATCTGATTCAGTCCAATGTGAGTCCGTTATAAATGGATCAGGCCTAATCCAATTCAATGAATATTTTGGACCATTTTGGATTGGTCTAATTTAATGTCTGGACCATCCAATCTGTTCTAATTTAGATTAATTCTGACACAAACCTGATTCATTTACACCTATATTCTTATCTTTTATCAATGGATCAGATATTGGCTAATCCAACCAAACCTAATATAAATTCATTATGGATGGACCAGGTCCAATCCAATCCAGCAAATACTTTGGACCATTAAGTTTGGACTGGGCCAATTCAATATGCCTTGTTGGTCCATCCAATCCATCCAAATTGATTTTGGTTTGAACAGGGTCAAATCCAAAATGGGTCCATTGACACCCTTAGTTAGGGTGTGTGTAACAAAGAGAGAGAATACCTCTGATTTATTCACTGCCTTCATCTCATCAAATTCGTTCTTGCACATAGAAAAGGTTAAACTAATGTGAGTAGACATGTGGTTTCATTTGATTGGGGACACAGCCCTGTCCAAACCACACTCGACAGATCTGGATTCATTTTCTTCCTTTCTGCTATTTTGTTTAAGATGACATACCAGAATTGGAATGTGCAACTGTTTGGTTGGGTGGAATATATAATTACTCCTAAAATATCAGGTATGTTCTCAGCAAAGAATGTCATTATTGAATGCATAAATTTGTTTGATAGAAAGTTTGAGTGAAAGTTCTTAATAAGTTTCGCAAAAATCCTCATCAGTAACTTCCCCCACCTCTCTCTCTCTCTCACCAAGAAATATACAAGCACTTGTATCACATTAAGTCCCTGTTTGGTTCATGGGAATAGGGATCTGAAATTGGAACCGAGATGGATTATTCCGATTCCAATTATTTGAATGGGCAGAATCAAAATTCTATTTACATTTCTGTCGGAATGAAATTCCCCCATTTAAAGGAATGGCCATCCTGCCCCTCCATTGTTATCCTTTTTGCCTCTCTTGTGTTGAGTGAGATGAGATTAGTTAGGTTGAGGCTGTCCAATTGCAATAATTGTAGGTGATGGTGAAGCATGGATCCCTCTTAACAATAAAAAGCCGATGACCCAGATGTTCTGGTGGTCTCTCGTTGTCCCTCTAAAAGATAAAAGATGATGAAGCATGGATCACAGCCGCGTATCTGCAGCCTTCATGCTTTCCTCTAGCTAGCTCCACGAGTCCATGGTTAGGTCAATGGAATATATATGGACCTCATCAGGGGAACCTGCTTTGTCCCCGCTCCCCAGTCCCCACTTCAATAAAAAAACACATTAATTATAGTGTGTAAGTAATTAGACTAGCGCGTCTGATCCAGAAGAAGGAAGAAAGAAGGAACATTGATTTAACATTCACGGTGTAAGACCTGCTTCCTTAATTCCTCCCTAAAGAGACGTAAGCGAAGTCAACCAATTTAACTAATTAACAAATACAATAATATATTAGGATCCGTTTAGTTTAGAGTTGGAATTAGAATCAAAATTCTCTGGAACCAGAATTGGAATCTGTTTTGGTTCAAACAGAAATAGAAATAAAAATTAAAATCAGCAGGAATGAGATTTCATTCTCAAAAAAAGAATAGGGAATGACCATTCCCTCAAATGAAGGAATGTCATTCCAGCAAAAATGGGAATGGAATTCCGATTCTGCTCAACCAAACAGTTAGAATCGGAATTTGTCAAGATTCCGATTTCGATTCTGATTTCAAACCCCTATTCTCGTGAACCAAACGGAGCCTTACTTTTTTCTTTCAAGAATTTGTAAGATAGAATCGTTTTCGTAGATACCCACCACCATCAGGATAGAAGATAGAACAAAGTGGCCGATGGAGGGCCGCGGAAGCTTCGGCCAGTACCCCGCCCCACTAGCGGTACAAGCTCGGAAGCAGCTGCCTCCCAGTTCTTGTCATGCATCATCGATCGGTTTCCTTGGAAGTTAAGAGGTTGACTTCATAGTCCTGTTAATTAATTAATACGATACGACTAATATATAAATACTGAAACTGGGGGGCTCTACTTTCTCCTCATCTCTCTCCTCCCCCAGAAACAACCAGGACCAGCGCTCTGATCTTTGTCTTACCCGAAATATTCAGCGGTGCTGGACATGGATCGGAAGCTCCATGAGGCAGTCCTAAGGGGCGACGTACCCGCCTTTCTCAATCTTATTAGAGAAGACGAAAGCATTATCGAGCAAACAACCTTCTACCTTTTGAACACTGTATTACACATAGCTGCCAAGTTTGGACACCTGGAATTGGCTTCAGAGATCATTAAGTTACGGCCAGAAATGGGATCGGCAGAGAACGAGAAGATGGAAACTCCATTGCATGAAGCATGTCGTGAGGGACATGTGAATATGATAGAGGTGTTGTTGGAGGCTGACCCTTGGGCTGCCTACAAGCCAAATCGCAATGGTGAGAGTGTCCTCTATGTGGCTACTTATCATGGCAAGGTCGACGCAGTGAAGTATCTCTTGAACGATCCCCGTCTCCTTATGTTGGAAGATGATAGATTTGCAACTTCGCTTCATATTGCAGCATCTGCTGGCCATTTAGGTAAGTAGTCCGATCCGGCCATGATTTGAACTTGGTCTTAATTAGTGGATTAATTGGTTATTTATATTTAATTACTACTTGATCTTGATCATGGAGTTCTTAATTAATTATATTGTGTGTTAATATATTCCATATTAATACTCTTAAGAGAAATTAATTTGTGTATCTGTGAACAGTACTGAACACCCATGCATGTTTTGTGGGTTGGACCTAGTTGCAGAGAGCCCCCAAGATTATGGGTGTTGTTAATTAACGGAAAATGATAAATTATTTTGTCATTTCTTACGTGGTTAATTAATTGGCTATGTTCTGAAGCCTGGTGGGTTCCTGCCATTCCGAATTCTAGAGAACTTGGGTGGGGTTGGGTTGGAATTTGGAAATTTGAAAATTTTTTCAATGGGCCCAAACCCTAAGCCAAGCCCAATGTAGTTGAAATTCTTTTAAGTTGGGTTGGGCCTGACTTGTAGCCCTAAAACGGGCTTCTCTATTGTGCTGTTCTGTGACCTGTGACTGTTGAGAAAGTCCCACCTATCGCGATCATCTGCTTGACAAATGACATGACATTATAGTACTGTTTGATCATGATCACAGACATTGTTAAGGAAATAATTGAATTACGCCCAGATTTTGCATGGAAAAGAGACTTCCAAGGACATTCTCCCTTGCACTTGGCTTGTAACAAGGGCCATTTAGAGGTAACAAGAGAGCTTCTGAAGCTGGACCCAGACCTGTCTTTCTTGCAAGATAACGATGGTAGAACTTCACTCCATTTAGCAGCTATTAAAGGCCAAGTAGATATCCTAGATGAGATCCTCTCAACCAGTCCAGAATCGGCCGGTATGTTGACGGGCCAAGGAGAAACGGTTCTACATCTTGGTGTCAAGAACAACCACTACGAAGCAATCAAGTTTTTGGTGGAGGCGCACAACATCAACGAACTTCTAGACTTTCCAGACCACGACCGCAACACCATACTGCATCTAGCGACGGCTAGGAATCTCACCAGAGTAAGATATCGGAACATACATGATACATGCATACATCAGCTGCTAGCCCAATCGCATGCAACACCATGCCTGAGCTGAGATGTTTATTTATTACTTATTAGTTTCTTATTTACTTCATTTGGTTTGACAAATGTACAGATTGTTACGTACCTCGTGACTGAGACAGATATTGATGTCAATGCTCTCAACCGCAAAGGATGCACGGCTCTCGACATTGCCGAGTCCAGAGCTGGAAATTCCGGTTCTCTCAACCTTATTCTTGCACTGAAGGAAGCCGGTGGTAAGAGAAGCCATCAATTGACACACGGATCGACCGATCATTCACCCAATATCCAGAACAAATGGGAAAGGTTGCATGGAAATCATTTGCCTGCTGCTCCATGGTCGAAAACTATCTTGGATTTCCCTCCAATCAATCGCCTACAACAAAGACACTACAGTCGCCGGAGGAAGCAACATAAACTCCACTATGCGAGTGTACAGAATGCTCAAAACACACTAGTCATAGTTGCTGTTCTAATAGCCAGTGTTACATTTTCTGCTGGCGTTAACCCTCCCGGCGGTGTTCACCAAGATGGGCCATTTGCTGGGAAGTCAACAATGGGAAGGGCCACCCATTTCAAGGTCTTCATGATTAGCAATAACATGGCACTTTTCCTGTCACTTGGCATCGTCGTTGTCTTGCTCAGCATCATCACTTTCAGACGGAAACCATTGATGAAACTATTGACCGTGGCCCATAAGGTCATGTGGGTTTCCGTGTCATGTATGGCCACAGGTTACATGGCAGCCACGTGGATCATCATGCCACATGGCAGAGGAACAAACTGGGTTTTGGCAGCTCTATTGTCAATTGGCGGAGGGTGCATAATGTTAGTATTTGTGGGCCTCGGGTTGATGTTGGCACGCCACTGGCTTAGGAAACGGGAATGGAGGAAGAAGAACGACAAGAAGAGAAAGAGGACTACTGGTCGTATCATAAGCCACAAAATCGGTATATCCTGCTGCCACAAAAGGAGTCTTGGTTCTGGCATAAACAGAATGGGAATGGGGAGTCCTTTTAGCAGAACAACCTGCAACAACTATTCGAGCTTTGACTCCACTAACTCTGATTTGGAGAGCTCAGAGTTAGAGGGTCTTCATCCATTGTAAATTTGTAATGTCGTCCCTCTGTAATTAACGATCCGTTTGTTTAGTGCAAATTTCATTTGCACGTACGGGTGTAAATGCACTAATGTAGGGAAGTGCCAATGGGTTTGAGTGTAAATTCTGATTTGCTTTCTTTTCCATATTTGACTTCGCCTTATTTGGCTGTGAAAAGTAAAATAAGATGTAAAATTATGTGGTTCTCGCTTTATATGAAAAATAATAGAGGCAGATCAAGGTATGAGGTAAAATGAGGTGGTCCCATTTTATATAAGATTAATTAAAAATTTGGTAGGAGGTAGAGCCGTAGAGGTGTACATTTTGAATCTGCCAATTTTGCACTCTCAATGAATGCAAAAGAGGCAAATGGTGCAAATCATAATTAAAATTTACATTTTATGAAAAAACTATAAAAGTAATTATCTCCTTGTTATAACATATGATATAGTATAGGTTCGCTATAAGATGTGCAGCATTGACAATCCAAATCTAATCATGATAAGAGGCATCACTTAGGTGGAGTTTGATAAATCTGAAAAGTTAAAGAGATATTAAAAGTGTTTGAAATCTGAAAAGAGCCATAGATGTTTTTCTACTTTTTAAAGGATCTCCACAAGTTTGTTTGTGTTGGATCAATCCTTTACCATCTGAAATTTACTGATTTTACTATTTTACCCTAAAACATACTATTTGAAAATGTTGAATTCAATTTGCATTATCTCATAAAAAATAATTTTCAACCTCAAAATAATATTGAAACAATACAGATAAAAAATAATAAATTAATAATTACTAATTACTAAATGAAACAATTAAAATTAAAAAATTAATGACTATAAAAATATTAAAATAATTAATAATTGACACAAATAAAAATTAAAATAATTTTTAAAATTTAATGAAATAATTAAAATTTACTAATTAATAATTAATAAATAACATAAATAAATTTAATAAAAATAATTAATAATTAATAAAAATATTATTATTTTTCACCGAACCACCACTGCTGCATGTTGCAGTGGCGGTGGCGATGGCGGGAAGACAAAAGAGAGAGAGAGAGAGCCACCGCTGCAATTTGCAGCGGCGGTGGAGAGGAGACAGGGCGGAGAGAGAGAGAGAGAGAGAGAGAGAGAGATAAGATCTGAACCCAAATCGATCGATCTACGCCTCTGAAAAGACAAAGGCACATACGGTTTCTGATGATCAATTAGAGTAATAGAGATAAGGGGAACAGAATACAGATGAACAAATCCACGGATGTTAGAGAACACAAAATAGATCAACAAAGTTGAATTGATCCATCGGGATAGATCCAATCTCTGCATCGGGCAAAGTTCTGACGCCTCGTTAAAACAGACCTTTGATTCCAGGATCTCGCCATATAGACTGAAAGCCCTCTCGAGAGATTGGTTGTCGGTGGCCCATGTGAGCCTACCAATGAAGCATTACTCAACTTCAGCAGAAGCCATGACAGAAACCCTGTGAAATTGAACAGAGAAAAGGGGAAATAACAAAGAAATGAGGAGACAAAAATCGAAAGAGGGGGATAGATAACCTGCCTCCAAGAGCACGATAAAACCCTCAATCCCCCAAGAGAGAGAGAGAGAGAGAACTGGGAAGACAGGCTCAAGAGTCACCGCTGCAAGTTGCAGCAGCAGTGGCGGGAAGATAGGGAGAGAGAGCGAGTGTGAGAGTGAGAGAGAGAGAGAGAGAGAAACCAAATGAGTCTGAGCATGCGAGAAGACCGGGGTAGTGCGCATCATTTCCAAAATATTGTAAGGGTATTTTGGACTATGCACTGGCTTTGAAATGCGTCTGAGCGCGTTAAGAGCCAGCCTAATCTCTATTATTTTCATATTTAAAAATAAGATTCAGATCAAGTTTAAGAGGTAAAACCAAACAAGTGTAAGGTCTGAAAAGCAACATTTTCAGATTTAGACCTCTGAAAAGTGCAATCAAACAACCCCTTAGGCTCAGTTTGGAAGGGGTACAAATACAAATATGTACATGCAGTGAAAATACATATAAAATACAAGATTTTGCACTCTACAAATGTATATTTATACTCTTTCCAAACTGAGCCTTGATAGGATATAACCACCTATCACAAAAACACAACTCATCTAGCTGAAAATTAAAAAAAAAAAAATCATTTGGTATGACTGAAAAGGATAAAATATGTAAATTGTTCACCACTTCCATTACCATTAATTTTTTTTCTCAATCCTAATAACATCCATACTCCAACGCTACATTCTCATTGAACCAACCTAAGAGCTCAGATCCACTACGTTTTAGGGGGCATTCTACAACATGAATGTTTTTATTTTCATTTATTTTAGGAATTGTCACATTGGCAAAAAATAAAATAAAACATGTTCTTGCATCTACTTTTGTTTTCAAAGGAAAAACAAGTTGGTTTTGTTTTAAAAACAATACATGTATGTTTTTGAAACCAATAAAATAATGGTTTTTAAAACTGATGAAGGGTGATTTGGCACGACCTAGTAAGAACAGGTCACGTGGACGTGATCTGCTCGAGGAGTGACAACTCAGCCAAAAGAACCCAGTCTACAACAATTAGAGCTCGAGTATTCGGTCACCTCAGCCCAAAACCACCTCGGCATAAAGGCACCTTGACACCCAATCCAGTTTGGGGCTATAGAACCGAAGTACCAATTCGGGGCTAAAGAACCGAAATGCCACATAATCAACTTTAAAAGCCTCCCCAACGGACCCCGAATTTCTCGGGATCACGACAGAACTCATCCTCACTTCGCCCGAATCGGAGGAAAGCGACAAACCTTATCAACTAACACATTGCTCTCCTTCAAAAATGGAACAGATCGCAGCCCGAAGATCCCAGAGCTTTTTCGTAAGATCCACAACTACGCCACTATATAAGGACATCGAACCCCAAGGCAAAGGTACGTGCGATTATTTGCTCACTAGCACTCTAGCATTCAAGTATTCAGCTCGCATGCATAATATAGTACTGACTTAAGCATCGGAGTGACCTCATCGAGTTAGTCACCCTGGGTTCTCTGATCCATTATCTTGCAGCTTGGTCCAGCTCGCCACACAACTGGTGTTCAGATCATCTTCCAGCTAGGAGTATCCAGATCGCACACCATCAATTGGCGCCGTCCATGGGAACCGATCAAAAAGCCATCCCAATTTCAGTTGCAATTCTAGCTTTCGATTTATCTCAATAGATTCTTCCAACAACACTGGGAAAAGCATTGAGATGAACGTCACCGGGGGGCAAGATCAGCAATCAACCTTCTCCCAAGGTCCCACGGTATGCATCGGTCAATTTACTATTCCCCTTACAGCTTTAGGGGTCCCATCACTATCCGTACTGCAGGGAACTACGTAAGTGAGTGTCCCGCTCCCCCCAGTGGGCATAACTTTCTCTGAGCCTCCGTGGTCCCCCTTGGAATTGAGCACTCCCAATTCCATGACCTGGTTCAGTGCGTCCGGACAATACAGATCCAGATGCAACAGGTCCAACAGTATCAACAACAGTTCCCACCACTACAGCCGAACCAGCAGCCAATTCCACCCCGGCACCCAGGGTTGCGCCAGGTCTAGAACCAGAATCGGATTGGAACTAGCCAGAACATCCACCGATCCCCCCATCGGGGTGAGGGGACCTCGCAGGTGTCGGTTCCTCCCAGGGATCAAGCTTCACCCCGTGGGAGGAGAGATGGTCAACACACTCCTCCAATCTCACAAGGAAATTTTAGAAATAGACCCGAGGATAGTCAGCTCAACAAGGCCAATCCAGCGCAACGCTCCCAGCAAGAAAACAAAGGATCGCGAGGAGATAACAACCAGCCTAGAGTTCGAGGTGCGAACTCAAGGTAGGACCCCTCGGTGCCTCGTGATAACCGGTGTGAACTCCACAACCAGTTGAACCCGACAAGAAGGAACCAGGATCCACCTCGCGACAATGTTCGTAATGATGTCGAGATACCAGATCAGACCGAGGTCAACAGCACCAACGCTGAGCCGGTGAAGAAGCAGCAACGCCGCCGCCGCAAGACACGTCACTCCTCGGCAAAAAACAATCCGCCGGCGAAGCCAAGCCAACAAGCAGAGCGAGCTAAAGAACAGGAAGAAGTGAGCTCAGTGACAATGAAGACTACACCTCCCTTGCTTTGTCGGTCATCTCCTCTGTCTCCCGAGCTCCTAGAAACCCCGATGCCGAAAGACTTCAAGGTACTCCCATTAGATAAGTATGATGGATCGTTTGACCCCAATGATCATGTGGATTCTTTCTAGTCTCAAATGCACCTAGTTGGGGTTGACGAATCCTGCATGTGTGTGGCCTTCTCCACTACGTTCAGGGGGGTAGTCCAAACCTGGTATCGGAACCTCGCGCCAGGCTCCCTCAAAAGCTGGGCACAGATTTCCGATCTATTTACTGCACATTTCATTACCAGCAAAAAATGTCCGGAGTCACAAAAAAGCCTTCTAAACGTGGTTTAGAGGGAAGGAGAATCAATCAGAAGCTACATAAAGCACTTCAATGTTACTTGCTTGTAGATACCGGACCTCAATCTAGCGGTGCAACTCATTGCGGCAAAGAAAAGAATCAACCATAAAGAGTTCAAGTGGCACGTGGTAGCCAACAAGCCAAAAGATATCACCGAGTTCCTTAAGTTGGCAAACCAGTTCATCAGTACGAGGAGGAGATCAACCAAAAGATTGACAATCCACCGGCAGAAAAGAGGAAGAGATAGAATGAAGGGACGAGCAACGGTGGGCAGAAACGAAAGAAGAGAAAGTCCCCGAGCAGGGGAAGAAGCAAGTCAAGAAGTCAGTCCCCTTTGCGCAGGCACAAGTCAGGTTGGTGTTCCAGGACCCCGCCCGTGGAGAGAACAAACTATACACATTTGAATGCTAAGCGAGGAGAGATATTAATGGATATTAAGGATTCCTCCTTCATCAAATGGTCTCCCAGGCTAAGGGGAGACCCAACAACAAGAAATCCGAATGTCTAATGCCATTTCCATCGAGATCATGGACACAACACGGAAAATTGCAGGAATCTCCATGATGAGATCGAGGAACTTATTCATCACGGGTACCTGAAGAATTACATCCTACAAGAAGAGAGGGGGCAAGCAAACCGACAGAAAGACCGACAGGGGAACCAAAGGAGGAATACCCCTGAGACCAGCAGACAGAATGAGCAGCCACCTCGACAATTGGCAAAGGAAAGGCCA